ACATAATGGAATTAAGTTATTTTTAAGTGACTTAAGCAGTGTCAAAGTGATTTTGATCTCCCTGACAAGTGTATTATATATTTTTGTCATATCAGTTAATTAAAAGATTGTTTTTGCTAATGGCCTAATGGTTAGAGAGTCGGACTTGTAACCTGAAGGTTGCGGGTTCGAGTCTCAGTATCAGCAGGAGTTGTAGGTGAGGGGACTGAATATACAGTGCTCTCTTCCACCTTCAGTAAAGTCCTGTTGCCTGTGTATCACATTTTGTTGTGGTTGGAATTTGTGTTTGTCAGATATCATTTACCATGCTAATATGTGCTATTGCTAGCTCGACTAATTGCCCTATATCTGCCGATTTGTTCACATCACTTTAACATAATGGAATTAAGTTATTTTTAAGTGACTTAAGCAGTGTCAAAGTGATTTTGATCTCCCTGACAAGTGTATTATATATTTTTGTCATATCAGTTAATTAAAAGATTGTTTTTGCTAATGGCCTAATGGTTAGAGAGTCGGACTTGTAACCTGAAGGTTGCGGGTTCGAGTCTCAGTATCAGCAGGAGTTGTAGGTGAGGGGACTGAATATACAGTGCTCTCTTCCACCTTCAGTAACAACCACTGAGGTGCCCTTGACCAAGGCACTGAACTTCCAATTGCTCCCTGGGTGTCGCAGGTGTGTGTGTGTGTGCATTTGGATGGGTTAAATGCAGAGCACAAATTCTGAGTATGGGACACCATACTCCACTTGGCCACATCACTTTTTTTTATATTCCTTTAAAAGCACCACAATGGTAACCCCGTGTAACTGACACAGTTCTCCCTCTTTAATCATCTTGCTCAAACACAAAATAATACTTCATTTCAACATTTTTACTCTCAACACCTGCTCAACTCGTAATGTGATCTATATGTTCAAATGTCCTTGTCCCAATATATAAAAGATATACATTGAAATTTGTATATACTATTTCTTTTATATGTTTAGGGTGCCAGTTTTCCCATCAGTCCAGGACTGGCTAATTCTGGAACATTGTACATTTATATATTATTGATGTGGATTATCTCTGTCAAATAAACGTGAAATAATAAATAATTAAAAATAGAAAATTAATCATGTCAGTTGAAATTACGAATCAATGAACATACATCAAGTATTAGCCGACAAGTCATAACTTCTCCAGTAAGCTAGACATTTCAACGAGCTGGGACATGATATCAAACAATTGGAATGTATCAGTATAGAGGATGTTTTAGGGTAATGTAGAGGAGGTAATATGAACAAAGAACTATTAAAGTGATCTATAAACTCATTAATTGGCTCCAAATGGCATGAATGAGGAATTAGATCGTTCTGTTTTCCTTTAAGGAGTTATAATCGTTCTAATTCATTTTAATATTTTGTGGAGAGTCATCTATGATGCTGTATTTCTGACGACTTTAATCATTTTACATTCCATTGTTATGTATTTTGATCTTTAATTCGGGTAGTAGATGTTGGTGATTGTCTAATTATTAAAATATTTAATAAACTGCTTAATTGTGAAATTGTTATAAATACGGGATCCTTTGTGGTTCATGTTATGGCCAAGGATGTATTGTGCAGTGTATTGGTGGATGTGAAAATTTGTGCTGTATATTAATAAAAATGGTCAAGCATTTAAATGGAATATGTGTGTTTTCATAGACTCAATATTGGCTAATGAATGATGATGTCAATATAATTAATGATATAAAACGTGGGTGGAGGGATTGATTTATTCAACGCACTGAATTTGGACTTGAGCCGAAACATTTGCAAAATAAAACATTAAAAGAAGACCATTTTTGTGAGTGCGGATCATGGTTTCATATACTAAGTAATTTAATAGATTGACGCACCAAAATATAATATTAAGTGACAAAAGAGCGCGGTGCAAACGGCTTTGTGGAACAACATTATGTCCCATGCAAAGTATTCTGGGAAGTACAATTTCTGTCATTTCTACAGCAAACTTCGAGTTCTATCGTACATACCTGACTAGTTAATATTTGCCCTTGATAATTTTATCTAGTAGCTATTGCACATCAAGTTTGGAAGAGAAACAATTTTGTTGTGTAGATCACAAATAACATGAGTTTTTTCACTGAATTTTTTTGCATGTTCACAAATATTTCAGCTTGTCAAACGTAAATCAGTGTTAACTCATGATTACAAACACAACATATTCCCACTCTCTGCACTGATTCTGTGCTGGATTTAAATATGGTAAAACATGTAATCTGAGCTGAGAGAATTTGATCTTGGAACAATCAATTGCTATAAACTTATACATGTTTAGACTAATGAACATCAAATGAAATACAATATGATTACAGGAATTAAGACATTTTAAAGGAATAAAAGGTAAACAGAAAAACTTCAACAAATATCTGGGTTCTATATATGTTGATTCTATATGGGGAAAAAAAACACTAAACTCCAGGGCAACTAACAAATATGAACATTAACTTTTTTTTTACATTAATATTTGCAATTAAAATGTACATAAAAGTATAAGAGAAAATATATATTGTAGGTGCTGTAACCAGGCCACCATTTCTTTAGTGTTCCATCATCTTTTAGTATTTTTCCCCCAGTTAAACTCACAAATGTTTCTGATGTAGTTCCCATGCAATTTGCCAGTTAATGTAATCTCATTAAAAAAATTCAATAAAAAAAAACATGTTTATTTTTCAAACAAGAAAAATGGTGTTTAAAATAGTTTGTAGTTAGAACCGCTGGACTAGTAGACGAGTAGATAATAAAATCATTTCCACACAGAGCGAGAGAACGAGAACAGTGACGTTTAGGCAGTGAACAGTGAGGCAGTGACAGACTAGCTTTCTGAACAATATGAGCTTTTGAATATGGACGCAAAAGCCTGTAGTCACTCTGGAGCCCGTGCCAGCTGGTGTTAGCTCCAACAACCTTAAACATGCAGTAGAAACACCACAGCTTACTCACTCAAAAACACACATGCAGAGAAAAAAATTGTAAATGTTTTAAGCAGCCTAATTTAAAGTGAAGATAAACATTCGTATTATACCGGTCAAGCAATCCAATATGTGACCCTGGATAGGGCTACACGATAAATCGAGATGGAATCGAGATCGCGATTCGACAGAAGCTGCGATCGTCATGCATATCTTTCAGTGAAGCACGGTTCTGTGATCAGCAGTAAATCTCCATCCAAAGGCCAGAGGGCACTCTCGCGCTGAAACTCCAAATACGCCTCGCAGAAGAAACCCAGAAAATGCCTATCGCTGCAGCTGAATAAACAGAAGATTCAACTGCTTTCATTGATTCAACGTGACTAATAAACGCGCGACTATGGCAATATACGGTTTATCTGAGTTCTTATTATTATAATTTTCATTAAAATAAAGTATATTTATAATGCAATGCCTTTATCACTGCTTAAATACTATGAAATACGCAACGTGCCTTATTCTGTGTAAGAAGCCACACAGAAGGATTTATTTCAAACACTCGACTGACGTTATGAAGTGAGTTTGGAGTAAATATATGTTATTAAATGTGGTATTTTCACATGCTTTCAGATGGAGCAGCATTTACTTCACAGAGCCGTAGTTCACTGAGAAGCTATGCAAACAGCTGTCATTATTGCGAACGATTTCTGCTGCTCCATCTGAAAGCACGTGATGATGATTTCCTGCTGATTACAGAACCGGCTTTACTATCAAAATGCGCATGACAATCGCATTCGATTAATCATGCAGCCCTAACCCTGCACCACAAAACCAGTCTTAAGTGTCAATTTTTCGAAATTGAGATTTATACATCATATGAAAGCTGAATAAATAAGCTTTCCGTCGATTTATGGTTTGTTAGGATAGGACAATATTTGGCCGAAATACAGCTATTTGAAAATCAGAAATCTGAGGGTGCAAAAAATCTAAATACTGAGAAAATCGCCTTTAAAGTTGCCCAAATGAAGTCCTTAGCAATGCATATTACTAATCAAAAATTACATTTTGATATATTTATGGTAGGAAATTGACAAAATATCTTCATGGAACATGATCTTTACTTAATATCCTAAAGATTTTTGGCATAAAAGAAAAATCTATCATTTTGACCCATACAATGTATTTTTGGCTATTGCTACAAATATACCCCAGCGACTTAAGACTGGTTTTGTGCTCCAGGGTCACATATATGTTATTGGCGATGATGATATGTGATGTGGAACAACTTTTCAGTACCTACTGCTGCCCACACCTATACACTTCCTACTTTTCACACCATTTGTACACTAACTTATAAAATGGCTATGAATGGTAGTAGGAAAATAATAGACTTCTGCATGTTCATTTCTTTTCCCTAAAAGTAATAAATACATCTAGTATATCTAGTTTCCTTCCTACTTACTGTCTAAAACAAAACTAGATTACAAGACAAAACTAGAGTAGGCCTACATCTTTGATTTGCCACATCATCAAATCCAGTGACTAGTGCTTATTATATCAATTCAGTACATTGTAAACACAATTTGGTTTCCAGATGGACTCATAACCTGGGTGTCCTTTACTCTGGGAAGTTGCGTAAAGCCATCCTGTCAGATCAGAGCTTGCCAAAAACAGAAAGTGCTTTGCGGCTTTGTGTGCAATGAGCAGGAATGCCACAAGGGTTTCCAGGCCCCCTGGACAGTTTATTGTCGGGCTGAGATTAGGGAACCATCCAAGACGCTTTCCAATGACAGGATTCAGGTTTTATCAGTTCAAATGACAGAAATTTAGTGGCAGCCTAAAAGTTACACAACTAGACTACTAAAACACAGGCTGCAGTGCAATAATGAGCACATCTCGCCTAAGCCTCTCCTTTTGTAGAGAGTCTATTAGAGTGACCTTGCTATATTGATCTGCTATAAGAAGCTGGGCAATGATAGGTGAACCAGTAATCACAGAATAGTAGATATACAGGCAAAAATGATACAAATAACACAAAAATATGTTCTTACCAAATACCTCATCTTGTGACTCCGGTGAGTCTGTTAGGATGCGTTCAGATACGGTTGAGGATTCCTTCAAAAATACAAATACAAAGTTTTACATGTACAACCAAATAATGCTTAAATAAAACACAAATTGTAATTACATTGCAAGAAATAATCAGTGCTTCATTTTTAGAAATAATGTTGTATTAATAAAACCTAAATATTCAAGCACTGTGCATTTGTACACAAGTTTCCTTTTCCTTCTGTAGCTTTCTGAAGTGAAATGAGACCAGATATTTAATAATAAAAATGACTAAAGCCTAAAAGTGGTATTTTCCAGTGGTATAATCTAATAAACAGGTTAAGGGCAATTTACACTTCTGTGTCACACCTATGCTGTAGCTTTGGTGTAGATCACAACAGCTTTGACTCGTCATCTTTGTAACTTAAGATACTCCACCAGCATAATAATAATAATAATAATACAAAAAAAAATTATATCTGCAGTAGCTTTGCATCCATGAATGTTATAAAGCTTGATTGCTTGAAGCATCTAATGAAAGATAGATGATTACACACGTTATGTAAAAGGTCATTACCCATAAAGGAATCTAGTGATCTAAAAATGAACAAAATAAATTAGCTAAACCATATAACAAGAGATAAACAGATGCGTAGACAACAGTGCAGATCTATGAACTCAAACAGCCATGAAACAAAATGGAAGTTGCAGCCAATGGGGAAACCACTGTTGCTCTTTAATCAAATGTAATAAAAATAAATAAATAAACACTTAAACAAACTAATAAAATTTGCCAATTATTTTGATGACAGGCTTTGGCTCCAGCATTTCAGATTCACCAGACAAACATGGTTTCTTTTCATCTCGGAGCATATTAATTAGTTACATTACTTCTTGAAGCAAAGGCATATATATATATATATATATATATATATATATATATATTTTTTTTTAAATTAACTTAAATGATTTTTAGCAAATGGCTGCAATATAACAAAGAGTGAAAAATTTAAGGGGGTCTGAATACTTTCCGTACCCACTGTATATACACATATAGACTAACAGACAGACATACATACCTTGGGAACAGAAAGCTCATGTTTTCCAAGATGCTGCCCCATGCTCCTAAGACAAAATAGAGAAAGGAATGTTTTTAATAAGTAGAAAGGCAAACAATTACTTCACATAATCAAACTGATATTTGGTATTTGAGAAGAGTTTGTGTTACAAAAAACAAACACTAAAAAATGTAACTTGTTAATTCAGACTAATTAAAAGACAACTACTTGATTAATTAAACACACTTTGTTAAAACTTTTAATAGCTAGCAATGTGGTTCAGGTTTAGCCAGTCGAGATCAACTAAATATCTGTTTTGGAATAATGTACTATGGTATAGTCTTTAATGCCACCCTCCTATACAGGCATCAGGTTCCCTTTTCTCTGTTCTTATCTACTTAAGACAGGAACTCAGGCAGCTCTGTATTATGTCACATTCTTGTTAGGCAAGAGATGTTGATCCCTCAAAGCTCTCTACACAGCATCTGTGCACTCAGATAAAGCTTCCAATTCTAATATAGTTTCCACTTCATCGTTGAAACAACAGCGCCCTCTGGGAAATCCAAACTCTTTTGTATCCTTTTGCTGTAATAGATTTGTTTCATATCTTCTGACGACTCCTTAGCCTTAGAAATTCAACAACAATAATAATCCCAGAACTATGAAATGAGATGAATCAAGGATCAAGAGCTCCTAGGAAATTTTGTAAGAAAGATCGTCGTAACGGTTTGGAATGACATGAGGGTGAGTAAATGATGACAGAATTTGAATTTTTGGGCGAGCTATCCCTTTAATTGGCCCCTCACGGCCCTGCACCTAGTATGAATATTTACTGCAAATGTTTGGCAAAAAGAATATTCTGAATGTAAGTAATGGTCCCCAAAATGTTTTCCTCATTCAGTGATCAAACCAAATATAATAAGATATATATAACAAAAATATAATAATAATAAAAAAAATAATAAAATAAAAAAATCTGACTGGCTAAGAAACATTACAAGAGTGCTGATATATCACCAGCAACAGAACTGGGACTGTTCACCATTTGTAACGTGTCACTCCGCATGTCTCTGCGTGTTCTAGACAGACAGCATTTCTCCCAGCACATGGGAATGGAATGGAAAAAAACAGAAACGTTTTGGGAATGGAAAAAACCTACTATAATTTTCAAAATACTACTGTTGTAATGACACAGAATGCAGTTTTAAGAGTTTTTATAATGAGAATGTATCTATAACCTAAAACTTTCGACTTCAAGATTTTAAAAATCATTTTCATCTTCAGGACCGGCTGTTTCAAGCCAACATCAAAGTTTGTCATGACACACTTTACTAATACTATTATTATTGATTACAATTTAAAAAATAAGAAAATATATTATTATTCAAAATGATTTGTCTGCCATCTGTCTGCCCATGAGAAAGTCTGCTCACCCATTAGAATGACTAAAGCATAAAAAGGGGAGGAAGAACAGTCTGTGTTTGTTGAATTTCTTGTCTCACTGAATCTATGCATGGATTTATGCTCCAGAGGCAGTCGTTCTGTCATTCCTCTGCCATTTTTAAAAGGTGTGTGTGAAACTGACCATCCACAGAAAGCAAGAATTCATCAAAAACAGCTGGCAGGTGAGACACTCCCCCAACCACCATCGAGTTGTTTAAAATCTTTAATTTTTTCCTTAATTTTCCTGGAGTCTAGTTACAAACTCATCACAGCTGTTGTGGTCTGCAAAGAGGATACATTCTCACAGAAGACACAGAAGTAAAAACGGTCAGTTTTTATTTGTTCTCATTTATTTGAGTGATTCCCTTAAGATATTGATATTGTAAAGTTGTTTTTTAACATTGGTTTAACCACAGCGGCATCTATGTCACTGCATACAACAAAGTTTGGGTTCTACAGATGTTTGCGGAAAAAGATGATGCTCTTAGCTCATCACAAAGTACATGTAGGCCTACATATACAGTGGGTACGGAAAGTATTCAGACCCCCTTAAATTTTTCACTCTTTGTTATATTGCAGCCATTTGCTAAAATCATTTAATTTAATTTTTTTTCCTCATTAATGTTTCCTTAGACTTAAAGTCCAAATGTAATGAGCAAGATTGCTCTAAGTCCCACTTTCAGTGTGAACTTATAATGGGAAGGATTCGACTCTCAGCCATGTTTTTAGGGAGTACCGAGTATAGTGCACACGCAGAACAAGTGTTTATTTATTTATTTATTTTTATGGGGGCAAGAAAGTGTGAAAGAGCACAACTTTTTACAGTTTCCCTCAATTTGGTGTTGATTATCTCTGATGGGGCACCAGAAAGGAACCAATAGTCTAACAGACATAATCGCATGCGAAATTGTGCCAAAAATCTGTGCCAAACTATTTGTGTTGGTTTAAACAGGCCTTACAGTCTTAACGTCGACAAACAGTCCCTTTGAATTTTTTGGAAGCCCCAATATTTTTACACCGCATACACACGTGTTTTTTAACCGGTTGAATGAAAAGAAGTTAACAATTTAAAGGGGTCATATGATGCTTTTATAAAGATCATTATTTGGTGTAACATGACATGCTTTAATGTTCAAAAAACACATTATTTTTCAAATACTGTACATTATTGTAGGTCCTCTATGCCCCGCCTCTCTCAAACGCTTCGTTTTCTACAAAGTCCCTCCTTCCGACAAGCGCAGTCTGCTCTGATTGGCCAGGTGAGTTATACAGAATTGCTCACTTGGGGAAGTCGTGGCCTAATGGTTGGTCACCATTATGGTCAAGATGGGTCACCATACTTGGCCACATGTCATGTCACTTCACTGTATATGCCATTACTGCACATCTGCTAATCATCTTAAATAAAACATAATTATTAAATAGAGCTAAGTTCTAAATAACAACTGAGATATGAGATTTAATTTGCAGTTGATTTTCAAAGTCTTTGAGAGTTCATTACCGGTGCCTGCAGCACTTCTTTGGAGTGACTTTTCCTGTGGGACCTTATAGTTCAATACTGAGGATTGTGTAATGCATATGTGTGTGATATTTCAGAGACCTTTCACGTGATGGGGATTCGAGAAATGAGGCTGTTTCAATCTGTATTTGCTCGGACCTCCGTCAGAAGAGGGCGAGATTTCACCAAAACAGTCGGCAGGTGAAACACCCTCGATCATAATCGAGTTGTTTGGAATCAGCTAGTGGGACGCCGCCTTTGGTTTCCCAACACCGCGTTGCTCTCGACGAAAACACGTCTCTGTACGTCGCCCACATTAGTTTTCATCTGAACACCAGCCGCAAACGCGGAAATTGATCGTTCACGGTCGTGTTTTCACCTGAAAGACTGTCTGCAGCATTATGCGAGTATAATGAAGCCTTAAAGCTTGAAAAGCGTGAAGCTTTTACATCTTGAATTGTGCGAATACGGTTAACACTTCGAGGGCACTCGATGAAAAGAACATTCATAGAGTATGTCTTCCTGTTAGTAACCTGTAATGTGTTCTACTGTTAACACGAAATAATTACTAAAAAGATTAGAATTCAAATGTAAAGCACATTGCAACCGCTGGAAGGTTGTGTTTTCGCATCTGCTCGACACTCGTTTAGTGTAACTTAATAACGTTATATGCGAATAACAAGATATTTTTGCTACAAATCGGGGGCCTCTGGCTACACGGAAAAACAAATACTCATTGTTAACATGCTGAACTGTACTGAAAACCGTGCAATCTGTTTTAATGAGTGAGTGACAGAAAAGGCAGCTGCTAATTAACGTACGTTACATGCGTCCATCACATCTACTGGCACAGAAGTTGCAAAGGTGACCGCGATATACAACCGAACCGCGACAGGTTACATAATAAATAAGTTCAGTCATGACAGAAATAGAACTATACAGCATCTGCTCAGCTAGGAAACAAACTGAGCAGAAATAGAGCATATTTCAAGCAAAGGCGACAGCACCGTATAAGATGTCGTGATTTGACAAACAAACAAACACACACAGAGAGAGAGAGAGACGTACTTGTTTGCCCAAACGCGTCCACGCGATATGTAGATGACAGGTTTCGGCTGCTAGCCTCAGCACTACATCAAAAAATCCACATCTGCCCAAAATATAATTTTGTAGGCTTTGTTTGTCTGTTTCGGCTGCATGTGGTGTGGATGGATGATCCACTAATGTACTATGTCGTGATTTGACAAACACACACACACACACACAGAGAGAGAGAGAGAGAGAAAGAGAGAGACGTACTTGTTTGCCCAAACGCGTCCACGCGATATGTAGATTACAGGTTTCGGCTGCTAGCCTCAGCACTACATCAAAAAATCCACATCTGCCCAAAATATAATTTTGTAGGCTTTGTTTGTCTGTTTCGGCTGCATGTGGTGTGGATGGATGATCCACTAATGTACTTCCTGCTTTTAGGTAGTGCTGTATTATTCAGTGGGGTGGGGCTTTAAGCAGTTTACAACTTTATATAGCCTATGCAATGAGAAAAGAAACATTATTTACTTCATTGATATCGTTTTAACGTACTTTATCCCTGTTATGTTAAGAGGTTTTGTGTTTTCAGCCAATTTTATATTTACATTAAAGGGGTCATATGATGCTGCTAAAAAGAACATTATTTTGTGTATTTGGTGTAATGAAATGTGTTTATGCGGTTTAAAGTAAAAAAAAAACATTATTTTCCACATACAGCACATTATTGTTTCTCCTCTATGCCCCGCCTTTTTGAAACGCCTCGATTTTTACAAAGCTCATTGGTCTGAAAAAGCGAGGTGTGCTCTGATTGGCCGAATGCCTCAAGCGTGAGACGGAAATGTTACGCCCTTTTACTGTGATGCCGTGTCCCGGCCGGAGGGACGACACAAAAACATTAAAACCCATTACAAACGAGGCATTTGTTGCATCCAGTGGGGGACATAATTACTGATTATAATGACTTATACTGTCTTTTTACGCATTGCGTTGCATTGCATCGCGCCGCGTAAACATAAAACCATGTCTGCATTTGTGATCGGAGAAATAACAAACAACAAGTGCTACTCTACACTGCTCAAAACTCGCGTTTGAATCATCAGTGGCAAATGATAAAAGGTTACTCTCCCAGGATCAGTAAACAGTCCTCCATAAAATGTGCCGGCGATCCACAGCACTAAGTTGATGTATTCCTTCAGCGACCAGCACGGATCAGCTCCAGGCATGACGAAGCGGATATCGTCCTCTTTTGGAAGACCAAACAAAGTAGTTTCGCTTTCACAATGAAACACACAGCGTCTTCAGGACATGGCGGCAGCGGCAACAATACTACAGTGAGACTAAAAGTTACGCCTTCTTTCTTTGCGTGAACATTTGGGCGGCGCTATGCAAATCTTCCCACATAGTGAGGTAGATATGTGGGGGCGTGTTCGAACGAGCCGTTTTAGGTGGACGTGGCTGACTCTTAACTTTTATAAAGAATATCTCTTTGGATTTGAGACTTTAGTCTTTGCAAATTTACAGATCTTCTTTATGCACCAAGAGCTTGTAACACTCCAAAGAGAAAGGAAAAAATGAAATCACATCATATGACCCCTTTAAAAAAAAAACAAGTGAAGTAACAAAGTATTACTTAACACATTGGAACTATTTCTTGGAATGTAATGGTGTCTCTTGATCCCACTTAAGTAGCTAGGAGCTGTACTTGCATGTCTGAAAACAGCTGTCTGTGGGAAGAATTTCGGAGGAAATTCTGTCAGATGGGGATTCACATTGATAATCATAATGAAACCTCCACCTGATTTGTCAGTGAAAGAGCAAAGTGAGTATGGTTAGGATTAAGTGTAGGGTTGTATTAGAGATAGGGGCCAACCTGGTAGCAGTAGCCTATCCCCGACCATCCTACAGTATGCAGGAGTGGCATTTGGAGGCCATTTCATACACAGTTGCACTCAAAGGGTCTTTTCACACTGCACTTAACCCTAGATTATTGTAGTTTCAAACCCTGCTTTTAATCCTTTTTACACTTGTAATTTCGCTTTTTACCCAGGGTTTATGAAAACCTGCTCCAGATTGCAGTGTCAGTGTGAATGCAGTGTTAGAATGTTATGGCTATAGATGCTTAGCAACAGACAATGGGAGTAAAGAAGTGTATTTGCCCAATTTTTGACACTGACCCCGCAAAATGCAAAGAAGAACATTAACACAGTGTTTAGGAATGTACAGTGTGAATCGTCAGCTTATGAATATGCAGGATTAATTGTTAACCCCAGGTACATTCAATTGTGAGCAGTGTGAATCAAGATAACTCTGGATTCCATTTACCCGGGTTTTACAAAGGCCCAGGCTTAACAATTTCAAGTGTGAAAAGCCCCCCAAAAAATTATCACTTTCACTTGTTGTGAGTTCTACTGAATCCTCTGTTGTCCACGTAACTTAGGTATAATAATGTGAACTAAAAATAGTTGTTTCATTGCAATAAGAGGCCAACAGTATACATTTCGGATGTGTCCCTTATCTGAGGCTATCTAATCCAGATACATTCGAAAACATTGTTTTTGTTTCAAAACGCTCTCTGTCCAGCATTTTCAAGCTTTTTCCAAGAAATTTCTCATCCACTGAAACACTAAAATCACCTTGCTGCATGTGTAAAATGTAATTAACGCTCAAGGAGATGACACAGAGAGACAAGACATAATAAAGTTCTCATGCTATGCTTCTGGCACAGTTATTTTTTTAGCAAAATATCCCGCCACTCACTGGTGTGTCCAGGTAGCACTCAATCACCATTCCATGTATGGTCTAAAACACAATTGCCCTCAAGTTTTGCCACAAAACAGTAGCATTTATCTTCACAAGAAAAAAAATGAATAGCACAAAGCAGGCAGTATTATACATAACAATATCTATCGCTACAATATGCGTCTTCAAATACATCTGTTTTCACAGTCCACTCTAAAACACTAAAAACCTTTTCAAATGTATCCACTTGGGTGAGCATTTTCAAAAAAGCTGGTTTTGGAGGACAAAACCGCCATCTAAGTGTGGAGAGAAGGTCAAAACATGCAAAAAAAAAGATTCATTTTCAAATAGACACAGCCTGACCCATCTATTTCTGGGCTGCGTTCAGCCCTGACAAAACGGTGCAAAACGTTTTTAAACGGAAACGGTGGTGCGTTGAACACCCTGTTCTGATGACGCAAGAGTTGCAACTATGGCAGCTGAGAAGGCCATTCTTTGTGTTCTTTTTGAAGAATTTTCGGAGCCTGATGAAATCGGGATAAATACGTGTTTAATACTGCAAAATACACTCAATGTTACAGTCACTGCCCTTGCCGTCCAGAAATAAAAGAGAACATCCCAATAGAGTTGTAGGTGCCAGATACGGTTTGATGTCTTTTATTTTGAAATTGTCACTTCCAGTTTGTTACGTCATTTTGTATAGGTGCATATTACCTGTTAGTTTGGATGTGGATATCTGGGAGGAAGGGGGTGAGTAGCTGGGACGCTCACTTTCTGTTGACCGTTTCACTTTGTTTATTTAATTTTATTTTGTTTATCTTTTGTTTTCTATCTTACCGTCTTCATGCAACGTGTTACTGTTCATTTCTATATTGTAATTAAAACCCTTTGCTATCGAAACGCGTCATGGATGTATTCCCACTACTTAGCCCCTTAGCGGGTACTGGCTGCCGCTATAAGAGTGAAGGGATTTGTGCAAACTGTGGTTCCTAATTGTTGTGATCCAACATTTGCCTCGTTTTTCAGGATGAAAAGACAAACATTTCAGGTGAAGGATAATCCACTTCTTACCTCCGAGACTGTGTTATGATCTATATGACCTTATTTTTATTGTGAGTATTAAGGCCCGTTCACACCAAGCACGATAACTATAAAGATAACGATAAAGATATAGTTCTAAAAATCGTTCTCAATATTAAAGAATAGCATAGTTCACACCACAACTATAACGATAATGATACAGAGGAACGATATCGTTGTGATCACTTTCAAAACGATTTTTTTCCAGCTGATGAACGATAAAACACTGACAGCCAATCAGAATCCATCCTGCTGTAACGAGCTCAAGAATTTAAAGCGGCAGACGCGTGTGCGCTTAGAATAAACAGACGATATCGTTCGCTGGTGTGGACGCTAATATCGTTATCTTTATAGTTATCGTTCTTGGTGTGAACGGGGCTTTAGGCTTATCATTAATGCTGATCAATGTTGTTGTGCTATGTTATTGTAATATTTACCATTATAAGATCAGAGGAATATAGAAAGGTTTTTGAAAGTGTACTCCACAATACAATAGCAAAATATGTATAGTATTTTTATGTTACATTAATCAGTGTCTAGCACACCTTCCTAAGGAAAGGATATGGACCAGAAGACATTGCAATTACTAAATTATATTTAGACAGACTTAAAGAAGTTCCAGATCTATACGTGTGCTCTTATTATTTCAGTTATTTTGCCTTTAATGTAAATAAACATGTGCAAACAATATACTTGCTCTTGTGAATTTATTTTGATGTTAATTACATTGTGCCAGCTGTCTCTTTAATACTGCGTGTATGTATACATGTTGTTGCTGATTGGGCTGACATTTTTGACACACCCACCAAACAAGAGAAAACGTATCTCAAACCCCGTTGCACACCGTTTCCAGGAAACATGTCGTTCAAACAGCAAACCCTAGCAAAACGTTGTGTTTGAGCTTGAACCTGCCCCCCGAGTCAATAATGAGCTGAATGAGGTGTGTTTAATTAGTAAGAGTTCAAAAATGTGTTCATGTGATTCCTGAGTGCCTTTTATTGTGTAACTTTCCTTCTATTATTATTTTAGTTCATTCAGTCAGCACGTTAAAGCATGTAACAATAATAAGAAACAAAACTTTAATTACTTGTTAATCAGTACTATCATTCTCTGGTTCTGAACGCACTGCGCATGTGCTAAAGTTTTGTTCAGAATACATGTAATGCACATGTAAACAAATATGTGAGTCGGATTGCAATGTTGCAATGTCTAACCCTAACTTTTCAGAATTTTCAGAGTCATTCTGACAAAAATTAAAAATACATATCGACTGCAATTTGGCCTAACATGTTTATGTGAATCGGTCTTGATGATTATTAAATAACAACCACATTCAGCCATGATGGATGGAGAATTTGGAAAACCTTTTTCA